CTAAAAAAGAGAAACAATTGATTACACCAGTCTTGGAGTTTACTCAAATTGTAGTGGTAACTAAATCCCTAAAATCAATAGCTCTGTACACCTTCGAAATTTGATGCCAACCATATTAGTTTTAATGAAGTCACCTGACTGAAGGCTCTCGGTCACGAATCCGCACCAGATCACGAGTAGGTAGGCTGCACCCAACTTCTGCAACCACTAGCCAACTTAGATCAGTCACTTCTCGATATATCAATAGCCTATCAAGTATATCTTCGAAACTATTCGTTCCTGACCTCTGGTTTTACTGGGTTGGCACATTTCGATCATAGATGTTACTGGTTAAGGTGTTGTCAAACTCCAAATACTTATGGCATCTTCAAGATCGTTCTAAATTTTACAACTGATTTGTACACTGAGTTTGAATGGATTGCATATACTACACTAGCGATCGAACTTCCAGTATTCGTTCTGAACTTAGAGTTCATAAACCGAAGTTTATATGTATAGACAGAACTACTTACTTTTGCATAGTGTACGAGGTTTTCTTGAGTCACTCTTATCAAGTCACACCAAACAAAAACTCCGTGCTTAATTAATCCTTTTCTAATTTAAGAATGGAAACAAATTACATCACAATACAAAATACCTCAAACGGTACAACCTGTGCGATACAATCAAGGTTTATCTATCGCGAAATAGTGTACTAAATAGCTGAGGAAACAATAATTAGGTATTTGGGTCTTGGTGAACCAAATATATCCATTCTAAAATTAGGAAAAATTTGTTAAAAAGATAAAAGGTTTCGTTAGTTAGTGTAATTAAATATAAATTATGCACAGAGGAAAACATGCACTGTTACTTAAATGTTAAGAAGGAGGCGTACTTGAGTTGCAGTCTTGTGATCCATAATAAGCAGTCAGTGATTCCAAATATGGTTGATGAAATCCAGGATGTGCATCTAGAGTAATCACGTGACGAAGATATCAATACGATCCGTGAACATAAACATCAAGTATATCAGAGTTATGTTATCGGGACTGGTGATAAGTGAGAACAAGGAGTATGTGCGCGCAAAAGTGTATGTATGGGTGACAGTCGATGTGTCATGCCACGAGAGAGCGAACTGGGAACGAAAAATTAAGATCAAAGTGTTTTCAAACAAAACGTTTACAGTCAGTAGTAGTAACTGCTCAGTTTATGAGAAATAATAAAAAATTGTAACAACAGCAAATACTGATATCAGAATAAGTTCATGTCAGTTATCTCCACAGAGAATCGGGAATTATTAAGGGCTCTCTGAACAAAAGGGAATTAAATATTTATCTGAAAATGATCGATTCACCGTTTCTAGGAAGCAGATCAAGGTGGCACGGTTTAAACGTTAGGTCCTTTTGAAATGTGTCCGCCCTTTCGTTTCAGCGACCTTGAACGGCTTGATTAGAGGCGGTCATTCCGTATTTCAATTGCCGTGGGTTGGTTGGTTTGCATGAGTATCAAGTTTTTTCATATATAAGTCATCCTATGCTACATAAAAAGCACGAAATAAATAGCAAAACCATTAATTTAGCGTTCTCTGTTTTGTAGTGTGCACTTTGGCTCTGTTGTTGCTTTGTAATTTGATCTTTGATCCCAACAATTGTAGTAAAGCTAAACGAAATGTCAAGTCACAGGTAAATCTCAAGTATTTGTAGTATTTCCTTGGGTTATTATTGTTGCAAGGAATAACTGTTTAATAATTAGTAATGTCTGTTTTTAGTGCTTCATCCTCAAGTGACATTTCAGTCGACTTAACCGATGCCTTTCGAAGTATGATACTGAACAAGCGTTTCGTGTTGTGGGATGATTTTGAAAGCGCCTTAAAAGAGTTCCAAAAAGTATGGAACTATAATTTTATCGCTTCTCAGACTACTTATACTCGTTACATCCACACAGAAAGCAGATTGCTGAAGGATGTCAGGTTCAAATACCTGTTTGTATCGTTTAATTGTACGTTTGGTCACAAACGGAAATCGGAAGGTTTGAAAGTGAGGCAAAAATCGTAAGATCTTTAACTAATATCTTATGTTTAAGGTCTAAATTCCGTAATTGTCAATCTAAATTCCGTGTAAGACTAGAAGAGCAAGGATATGTAATCAAATCCTACAAGATGATACACAATCATCCATGTAGTAGTTCATGGATGGTATGTGATCCATGGACAAGGAGATTATCGTCAGAAGAAAAAGAGAACTCGAAGCCCGTAATACTTCACTGTGAGTCAGCAGACGAAGTTATCGAAAGTAAAAGAAGAAATCTTACAGGTAAGCTATATCAATTATGAAATACTAACTGCATAGCTCATCAACTTCTTAGGTATTGTAGCAGATGGAAGTTACACAATACCCAGAACTTCCAAAATTATACATTACCTGCATTACCACGACGGAGTGAAGTGTATATAAGTATTCAACGAAGCCAAAGAATCCATAAACATCGCATCATTGAGAAGTATGGTGAACGTTTTGCAACGGAAGTTGAGAAGAAAGTGGACAATTATTACTTAAGAATTCTTAATACCAACTTGTAAACTTGATTTTCTGCTTTTGCAGCAATGATTCTTCAATAAACTTTCATAATTTCAATTTTCATCTTATTCCTACTTTTATGGGAATGAATAGCAATGATGTTCATGTGTAGCTGTTTGTAATAATTAAGATTGATTAAGAAACCCTACATCCGCGTACAGTTTTGCAGATTAGGCACCCACATATCATATTCACCTTCGTGGGATTACGTTTATCATTAAAATCGTATCAGGACCTATGTACATTTTAAGTTCATGTGATTAATTCCGCTTATGAATCAAAATAAAACCAGGAGAAATGTTGATTAACAGTGGTATGCATTCATTACAACTAAATATGCAATAGGATTTAACAGTGATGTGGGAAACAGTTGACATACCTGAATATGAATAAATGAAATGACGTAGGTTATCAATAGTGACTATATATATATATATATATATATATATATATATATATATATATGCAGTGTAAGGTCAAAGGTCATTTGCTTTTACAGTCAATAACACATTAAGAATGGGTGATATAATAGTTGACTGCAGTTCACAGACAGATAAGTGGTGTGAAATTCTTATAGCTTGTAAATGATCCGTGGATTTAAGAACTGAAAACTTGAGTTACGTCATAATTGATTACAATTTGCAGAGGTCACGTAATTACAGAGGATTAAGTGACAGGGTGATGGAAAAAATGCGTAACTAAATTTTAAAAGTGAAATAAATTATTACATAATCATTCTTATTACTTGTTCATTCCATGGATTATAAGGAGTTCATATTATTCTCTATCTATATTTGTTCTAGCGTCATATCGACTATTAATAAATACTGACACGGTTTATAACGTAAGACACTAAGTGTAGTTGCTATATTTATATTTCACTAATTCATTTGTTGAATAAAAATGATTTTAATATGGTCTTCCATAATCACAAATTCTATAAGTTGTAGACCGGCGTAAACATCATCACAAAGCTTTTACGACTTCATTTGATTCATACAATTCTGAAAAACAAACAAATCAGTCGTGAAATAAAGAATTAGACCTAGTTATCAATATCACATTTAATAAGTCAATCAAATAGCAGGTTACAGAATGTACTTATAAGTCTCTTATTTGCAGACAGCGCTAATCATTAGAGATTTCTATTTCCTTTAATAAAAATTAATAGGTAATCTTTACAACACACAAATCAGTGTTATTTAAAAACTACTGAAATCAGGTTCGTCACAACATAGAAGCGTGGTCGGATTTATGAATAAAATGTAATTCAATAATGTGGCATAAAGGCGATATGAATACAAGGAACTTGTGATTCTGCTTCCATTGCTCATTCACTTTTCGTCACGTTGTCTGCATGAATTACTTTAGACGAGTCAGTCTGTAATGCAGTAGGAATTCATGAATTAACTCATTAATAGTTGTTTTTTGATTTAAGTTTGTGTCTTAACAAGCAATGGAAATTTCTTCAGTGTCTAACCCTTGTAGTATTTCGTCTATATATCTGGTATTAGCAAGAGAAATTGGTAAGCACCATTTAGATATTACTCGACAATATGCATCATAACTTTGTTCACATTTTCTTCTGCGATTGTGCATTTCCTTTACAGAGAATTATTCGTCAACCCTCTAACAGACACATCATAAGTCAGTATTAAGTAAGACATGGTTTCGTCACCATGCTCAGAAGAGACACCCATCGATTTACTTATGAAGATTTCGTGCATATTTAATGTGGTGTTACACACTATTTCTGTATAAGTTCAGAAAACCGGTAAAAAAGACTATCAACGTCTATTGTTACTCACATAATTTCTCTCTGATACCTTACACAGTAATATGTCACTTCAGTACAAAACAATGCTACCTATAGTCCAAATAACCTTTTATGGCTAAATACAAACAATTTATATAATATTCATAGTTACCTTAACGCTTACTTCTTTCTAATTACATTTTATAAACGACTACCAACATCTGTGTTTGCCGTCACCATAATCAAGGAGGTGAACCATATATAATTCTTTTTACGGCTTATTTTCATGAAAACTCAATCTGTAATCTATTTTTGACTAGAAAAATGGTGATTTGACTTCTTTGACTTAGTATTGTTAAAAAAAAACCATATTACGCCAGCTACATATTTACTTAGGTGGTGAGCACGAAATACGTCAAACTGCTTATAAATTGAAACAAAAACTATCTTCCAATCACAAAGATTACGAAAAGTCATGTATGACGGAAAAAAGGCTGTTAATAGCTGATAAATAACGACACATAAAATCCACGACAATACGTTACACGTGCGCGAAAACCCGTAAACTAACAAGCATACTGTGCCGATCAAGGTCAATAATCACCAACCGAACCACGCTGTAACCCTAAGACTAGTCAAACACTACCTTATTGTCAATGTGCCGGCAACGTGCTACGATAAAATTAAATTTAAAAAGTAAATCTTGGTCACGATCAAACAACAGAAACCCTAACAAATAAGATTGCTAAACAAAAGATGTTTGAGCTAATTTATTGAATTTTGAAACCCACTAATTCTTTTGAGGCTTCTTGACCTTGGTGTATAAACAATTTGTGTCTGTGAAAGCCGGAATCTATTTATTGTGAAATAATCCTGTGTAAGTTATAGCCTTATTTTTCTTTGTACAGTTGGCTTTCAAAATAGTCAGTTCTTTAGAGACTTGTTTCTAATCGAGTTCATTCATTTTCAACGTCTTGCTCGCGAAACTTACATACACTAATTGTTTGCTTTGTCGTCGCCTGTTGTTTTGTACGGTTCTAGGTCTCTTGCAATATCAGTAGGGGTAGTATGGCCATTTGACTGATCTAGTTCTCGTTAGTTTGGTAGTTTGTGGATTTGTATGTTTTGTAGGAGAATGAGTTTTCGATGATTCGGAAATGGACTCAAAATAAGACTTTATTTGGGAAATTTATATTATCCGTTCTGGGTAAACCGTCATAGAAAATTTCGGGAAAATATTGGGGACTTCCCCAAAATATGTGGAAAACCCTGAAATCGAAAGATTGGGTGTCTCAATGCAGTAGAGCTTCTATATATCAACATCTACTACATTGCCAGGCGAGAGTTTGGTTGGTTGCAATGTGAGAAATAATAAGGAAGGAATTCAATTACTAGTAGAAAACGACTGTTTCATGAAATGATAAACAAATAAGTTAATTGGTGATGCCGACTGCGTGAGTAAACCTAATTGTTTGAATAAGGAGGGAAACGGAAATAACAATAAAATCGATAGGAGGTATTTACTGTTTTGTAATAATGATAACAGTAGGTAAATTATGGAAAACGCATCAGACAGCTGGTTCATCAGGTAAATGGTAATCCATGGGTATGTGTTTGTCAAGTTTCTTTTTGAAGTTATCCACTGAGAGGGTTGTGGTCACTTCAACCGGGAGAGCATTTCAAATGAGGGCAACTTTTAGTAAGCAAAAGTGAGTGTACCTGGGTATTCACTCCTAAATATGTGATCTTTTGAGGGTTGCCTTGATGAGCGTGGTGATTTCATAGTATACTCGTGTTAGGGTGCTTTGGCGTACTTAATGTTATATGTCATTATCATATCACTTCTTACTCTCCTGTAGTTCAGCGAAGCTAATCTCAGGTTTTGAAGCCTCTTCTTACAATATTTGTGTTTTATACGCATCATTCATTTGGCTGTCCGTTTATGTACCTGGTCTAAGAGATTGATGTTTCTTGAATCGAGGGGGCACAATGAAATTATGGATTTCAGGGCGGAGCCGTGCCTACATTTTGAACATTGTTACGAACAATTTTGGAGTGACTGCCCAATGTCGCCTTCGCATAAAGTGGAAAGTTGCATTTGCTTTGGCTTCATCCTTCATGTAGTCTGAGCTGGTGTCTAGGATCTCTGTGGTTACTAGTTCAGAGCCACGCTCTAAGGAGACGATCGGAAGAGGATTTCCATGGGAGTGTAGGTTTTTCGTACCAAATGAGACAGGATGTTCATGATATGAAGTTTCGAAAACAATAGTAAAATGGTCCTAAACGAATTCAACTACTTTCTAGGGTCAGAAGAGGGCCATAGATTAGTGAAGAATTAGGGTTAAGATTTGAAGTGGGAATTTGGGGTTAGGGATTAGAGTTGGAGTTTTCATCATGAGATATAATGCCGAAATGTTATTTGTTCTCACTTATGAATAAATTTTGCGTCACTGTCTAAGTTCAACAAGTAAGCACTGGTGTTCATCGTGATATTTTTTTTCAATAAAAGAGCAGAATAACACGAATTTGTTTTCAGCTGCTTACAACCTGTGATACTAAAAAATCAGTTGCAAAATGGGTCACTTTGAAGTAACTTCCAACCAAACTCTTCCATGTATTTTTAAGCCCATCTTATGATTATGACTTGTAAATATCAGTTTTTAAGCAACTGACGAGAATCAAACAAAATATACTAAATTCCTGTTATTCTGCTCAGATCCTTGTTCTTACTCTCTTCAAGATGATAAATGGAACTGTGTAAAAAATAAAGTAATGAATTGTTCTGGAGAAAGAATTCTCGACCTTAAGTATGCGGATGTCTTATTGTGCGATGATACCCAAGCCATGCAATCCTCACTTAATCGTTTGGCAGTTAGTGTCCGTCGGTATGGTATATGCTTTGCATGAAAGTGCAAAGTACTTTGACATGACTGATCCTATACTCACCCTGGGTAGTGAGCAGATAAAAGCAGTTGAGAGGTTCGTGTATTTGGGTATGGCGCATATATATTTGGTGCCCTTTTGTACCAATATTTATGTATTCAAATAAATAAATAAAACATCCATCACAGCTTCTATCTTGGCTGACTAACATTTAATAACAATGTGTTACTGAAGTTGCTTAGCACAATTTTGTTGATACCTTCACAAAATGGCCTATCTAATTCTGAAAATATATCTCTGCCATCTCAAAAAAGCTAAGTTGACTGGCTAGTAACAGAATTAGAGAGAATTCAAGGATCTTCATCTGATTATTTCACAAGCTCGATAAAAATGTTGATATTGACCGGAATCGCGTATCTTCCATCCATTGTTTTTGGGTTGACAATTATTGCATGGCGGTTGTGAGTTCCCCACCCCTGTTGGTGATTAAAAATTTTTGAGATAGGTGATTGGTGAACTTGTTATTGAAAGTGTGTGCTCATGTGATAAGCATTTTGTCACCCGTAATAATTTGTTAATTGGCTGTAAAATGTGCATCTTTGTAATCTGTTTATTTCAAATTCAAGTAGCATTAACTGGTTTGACTGAATGTGAGAATTTGCAAGTTTACATTTGAATTTTATTTTGAGTAAATAATTATATCTGACTGTTCCATCCGAGTTTTGATAAAAGTTTCGACTTGTGAAAAAAGTAGACACCAATTCTATTTGACTGCCCTTCTGTACTGTCTGTGAATATATATCGGGATAAACCTTTTGATCAAGTAGAAATGGATCGGAAGTTGTTAGGTTTTGTGACAAGAGAAGAACTATGCATGCCATTAAAAGTAAACTAGGAAGAACTGATAACTATTTTTAATAATTGATAATAGTGATTACTGGATTTGAAAGCTGATCATATGTTTAATGCACAAGTAGTAAACTGATTTTCATTTTAGCATTTCCATAAGTTTAACACATAGTTTGGTCTTGTAATAATCGTCATATATATGTAGACATATGTATAAGTTATCGTGATGACATAATGAATAGGGTATGTATTAATCACGTTAAACGAAAGAGATTGATGAATGAAGCAACTTTTACGCTTTCCCAAATTAATAATAATAATTTATGATAAAGAAGCAAATAATATTTAATATCAGAAGGGTTTGTGTGGATATTACAGTAATTTCAATGGTTGAGAGCATAAGTAAGTTGGAGCTAGACCACCATGGAAAAACTGTGAGCACTGGACGGCCGTTTCGTTCTATTGTGGGGCTCTTCAACAGTGCGCACCCACGATCCCGCCTCATGATATTCGAACCCAGGACCTATCAGTCTCACCCACGAGCGCTTAAACTTTAGACCACTGAGCCGGCCGGCATTTAACGGTTTTAATGTCTAACTTCAACCAAATAATATTTATGACTGTGATTTCGTCAACAGTGATTCATAATAGAAAAGAGTTACTGGATTTCTCTGTGAAAACGGTTTCTTAATAAATGCAAGATTGTAATTGCATTATATTGCAAATTCATTATAAGTGAAAATTGTTTTCAAATGTACATTGTCCATTCTATGTTGTTGAGTAGTATATAATTCTGAAGAAAAATACCTTTCTGTGTATGTAGTAATTTAGATCAGTTATTGTGTTTGTGAATTGTGTGGTAGGTTTATTTTACGTAATGTCAATAGCAAATGTTTTGTAAGTATGCAGTCTGATCAAATCATTGTCTGAATTTTTTGATGTCATTTGTAAATGACATCGCATACATTATTTATTTCGAACGTCTGACATCACTTTTCCAATCATGGGTTTTATTTGTCAAACATATTAAAGGACACTGACAAATTCTATCTACATATTTTTAATATTTGGGTGCTTTTTAATTTTAAACCTGAAACATCTAAACGTTTAAAAAAATAGCCATTTTTGACAAGTAATTGAAATATTGGTCGTATTACTTGTAAATAGACAAAGGTACATCAGACATCAGAAATTTTTTATACCCATTATACTGCTGAATGCAAATAATGTAAACTGTATCAATTGAAATTCAGTTATACCAACGTTTAATTTCGATATATTAATGACTAAAGGCGTACATTTGTCTGGTTGAACAATTAAAAAAAACACATTAAAATATTCTTATTAAACTTTGCATGTACTGTTGCTAGACAGATTAGTATCCATTAGATGATATAGACATTTGATAAACCATAAAGAAGTATTCCTAATATGTGGGCTATGATCACATTATTATTATTATTATTATTATTATTATTATTATTATTATTATTATTATTATTATTATTAATTTCAAATTATTATATAGCTTAGTCACTATGGCTTAATTGATTGGGGTTATTTCAGTTAACCTTTCCTATAGAAATAATTTTGTTGTACCAGTGATTTAATCTTGGTACATAGTTCCCAAATATTGTACAGTAAATCAATGGTAATGATAACTTAAACTTATTCGTACCATTTTTCAATAAACACTTAAAGATAAAAAAACTTTCATTAGTAGTGACTGAAATGTTGTACGCAAGGAGTTATCAGATAAACATTTAAACTACTTCTCTGACAATGAGATTAAAGAAAATTGTTTGATGCCATTTTCTAACCAATTGAAACAAAAGAAATTATATAAAATTGTACATGGCCCTGAAAAGGATCTTTACTCGGTCTCTTAACATTTCAGATTGTCCCGAACAATAGCGCTGCACATGGGTCAGTGGAATTCATGGAATTGTGGTGGTGGGTTCCAGTCACAACATAAATGAAACATCGCATTGCAGCGACAAAAAATCCAAGTACTTCCATCAGCAGTTGGTGACTGAGCAAGATTCCAGTCGGTTGTCGCGGGCATCTTCGTCATTACTTAACGTGGCATCCGAATCCACGTTTGTTCGATATTTGGGAATTTTCGTCTGTTGGATCAACGGCATTGTAACATCCATTGAATTGGAGGCTCCATCTGAAACTCAGTTGTTGGCGATAACGTCAACGGCGCTGGAGACATTGTTCCGTAAACCACTTGATGCACGGAGTTATAGACAACACTGCATTGTCCTTCAGACATACGTCTTTTCAAGGAATGCAATGTTTTTTGATGCTTGAAGAATTAGGGAGACGCAAAAACGTAAAACCACTACTAATTCTTAAATCTGAAGCCACCCCTCTTTTAAACCTAAGCGCCCGGTTCCCTATGTAGCGCTATCCATTGTTGAGCAAGAAATAAAATGCCTTTAAAGAACTGGAATCATAGAAGCAGTGAGTTTGTCTAATCGGGCAGCATCAATAGTGATTGTTTAGAAGCCTAATGGAAGTGTCCGGCTATGTGCAGATTATTCGACAAGATTAAACAAAGGACTTAAAGCCCATCAGTACCCTTTGCCAGAGGACGTATTTGCGAAACCGAATGTGGGGAAGTATTTCGCAAAATTGAATCTATCAGAAGCTTATCTACAGCATTACCTGACAACAAACACGCATAAAGGTTTATTCCAGTATAACAGACTTCCTTTTGGAGTAAAGACCGCCCCTTCAATCTTTCACCAAGTTATGGACGCTATGTTGCAAGACATTCCTGGTACTGCGACGCATCTCGATGATATACTAATCATGGGAACGGACCCCACTGACTTACGGAATCGGATCAGTGATTTCATATACCTACCCTGACGGATCTGAGAAAACAATTATCCACACTGCACGATCTCTGACGACGACACAAAAGAACTACAGTCAGATAGAGAAAGAAGCCCTCCATTATATTCTCTGTAAAATGTTCAAAAATATGCCATGTAGCAGACAGTTTACCTTACTAACAGACCACAAACGGCTACTGACAGTTTTTGGATCCAAGTAGGGTGTCCCTGCCACTACATTGCTGGCCTATGATTTCAAGATAAATTATCAATCGACAACGAATTTTGGACAGGCAGGTGCCTGCCGTAGAAGTTAAGGCTGAAGTTCATATAGTGTTGGCAGACTCAGTTTCCGGACTGCCGGTCACATTTGAAGCCAATAAACAAGCTAGTAAAAAGGATAATCTGTTGAAGATTGTTCGTCGCTGTATACTCAACAAGTGGCCCTAATTTAGACTGCATGAAGAGCTCTTACAATATTTCCGTCGACGAGATTCCCCGACAGTTGTTGATTCGTGCATTATGTTTGGCCACCGTATCATTATCTCCAGAGTTCTTCGACATCAAGTCCTTAAACAGTTCCATGGCGAGTTCCTGGAGATTAAAGTGAAGTCACTGGTTCGGAGCTACGTATATTGGCCGTCAACGGACCGTACTACAAAACAAAAGTGTCACAGTTGTTGGTCCTGTCAAGAAGCCACAAAGAAACTGACAAAAGCAGAACCACAAACATGGCTAAAACTGGACGAACCTTGGTAAAGAATACACGCTGATTTCGTCGGTTTAATACAAGGTAGAAATTATTTGGATTTTGTAGATGCTTTCACGAAATGGCCGGAAGTATATGATATGCCGAACACGACGTCAGAGTAAAATAAGAAAATTGTCAAGATTGTTTGCTTGTTTTGGGGTTCCAGAGATCTTGGTAACCGACAACGGCACTCAGTTCGTGTCATTCGCTTTTAAACGGTTTTGCAGCGAAAAAGCATAACGCATCTACAGTCTGCTCCAGTTCAGTCGAATGTACTTTGTACGTTATTTTGGTCCATAATTTGAAAAGTTGCTCTTTCGACAAGTACTTACATTTTATATCAATTTTAAGAAAGAAATAACCAATTATCCAGAATTTAAAACTAGTCATTTATTTGGATGAAACAGAATGAGACATTTTTAAAAGTGGGATGAAAAAATCAATTCAAAAATTACAAAAATCGCCTTGCGTTTAGTGATATTCTTGTTTTGGGAGCAAAATGTAGTGTTACTTTTCTCATCTAATTATTTAAAGATGAAGCAATGAAGTGTGCACTTGGCTTCAGGACTAATTTTCCTTGCTAATCTGTCTAATTTGAGTTAGGGAGGACGGCATTTGAACTTTGATCTCACTGTTATAAATCAATTAACTGTTCAGGGAGGCGTTTTTTGAGAAATTTCATACACATAGTTCCCTTTATCATTTTGAAAAGAGCAAGAACAAAGTTTCTAGCAGAATAACATGAATTTATTTTATTTCGTAGGTTCTTGTCAGCTGCTTACAACCTGTGATATTTGAGAATCATAATTACATAATGGGTTTAAATTGCTTACTGAATATTGTAAATATATACCTAATGTGAAAGAATATTCTACAACATTAATTGTGACAACAGTGCAAACGGTCAGAAACAAGTGATGAGTAATGAGTAAACATCGATAGGAATATAGTGAGTAGAATTCAGTTGAAAGATTATTCATTTGAAAGATAGTTGAAAAAATAAAACAACATCAATGATGTAATAAATAAAAAAGAAAAAAAATTTTTAAGGTGCAGCGAAAGAATATTTGTCACATAGGTCAGGTTTTTGACGGCTGATGGCAACGGCTTCAGCAAACTTCAGAAGACTGGAGTTTGGCTGCTTACTAATCACCCTAAAGGATTGTAAGATGTCCTGTATCAAGGAGATGTTTGGTGATTGCACTGTTCAGACTTTTTGGAACACGTTATGATTTTTAAATATCACAGGTTATAAGCAGCTGACGAGAACCTACGAAATAAAATGAATTCATGCTATTCTGTTAGAATCTTTGTTCTTGCTCTTTTCATAAATCACTTACTTCAATTAATAAGCCATTATTGCATCTGTCATCATAGCTTTCATAAACAAGGTATGATTAGGCTAATTCTTCGTATATCTTGGTATAAGATTATTCTATATTGTGTAGTAGTGTCCAGATTTTCATTCACAAGCTTTAGATGTCATAAAAAGCACTTCATGCTAGTCATCTTTTCTCACCAGTGCTAGACTGACTAACCCTAAGACATATTTTATATGCCGCTAGCGATCCTTCTCAGTGGTGTCGTGGATATAAAATATAGCTCAGAATGAGAGCCAGTGGTGATCCTGTCGTAGCTCTATCAATGCATGATTTTATAAACAATAAAATATATTTTGGAAATGAACGAGATCTCTCTTGGTCATGTCTGAACCTTTAAATTTCATTTATAACCTTTCTTTCATCCACAATTATAGATTATATGCAGTCAAATCAACGGTCAACGTCAAGTAATCAACCTAATTTTCCACGCAAAAGAAATACACATGTTCAAGGGTTGAAATCTAGACTTCGATCAAATATTAATTCAATTTTATCCAATTATGAAATGATTTTATCACGATCCAAGGTACGTTGTAAATTCCTGTGCTTATTTTTCCTGTCTGTAATTACAAAATTTTAGATTGACCCAAATGAGGTTACTAAAGGTCTTGGTCCATATGCTCAGTGTGCTCAAGATACATTTGAATTCAGCGTAAGAGCAGCAAATATAGTAAGTTTTGTTGTGAAGTTTCCTTGTGATTATATAGAGAATAGTTGTCCGAATGTTTTTTTTCAAACTGGATTTCACCAACCCTTATTCATTAAATAATCAGTGTGTTTTCTCTTCATTTGGATTTGTTCTTTACGTTAATGTTTATTCTCGACTGTTGGACGAAGAACAACTAAAAGTTAGCGATTACTGATCAACTATCTCAAAAATTGAAAACCACATCTGCACTAAAATCGTACGCAAAATCTTCATAACTTGAGGCAGATAACTTTACCATTAAACCAATGGTTAGAAACTCGATAATCTACAGTTCCAACTTCACTCTATTTTTGATCCAGTAAACTTAGCGTTTTCAGGCTTTTTTAAAGGTGAACTTTTAATAAATATTTGCTGATACATATATTATACTTGCGAGTAACCATTACGTTCTTATATTGCATTCTAATATTGACTGCTTAAAACTAGCTATTCACATCAGTAAACTGTATTCAAGGATCATTTGAACAATAAGACAATTGATATAGTTATCTATATGACTCAACCAGTGTTTCAAGTTGCAAACCCACTTCACCTACTTATATTTAAAAAAACTGGGTGTTATTCCTAACCTTCACAGCGATTTTGTTCTAATTCGAGTACATGAACTTGTAGTTGGTTGCTTATTTATACTAAATTTCATTCGCAACATGGATTGCAAGTTTTAGAATAATAATCAACTATTCTATATCACATAATTGGAATAGCATTTTTAGCGTAAAATAAATTTATTTTATTCTTGGTCTTTTCTCATTAGCTTTTAGTGACCGTTGTACTATTCGGATCGTTATCGATGTAGACGAAATATGGACCCCACATATATCGTATATACTCTGTCAATGAATACAGTTGATAACAATGTGGTTATAAAAAGTCAATACGAGTGTTTCAGATGTTTACATTTCATACGTTCAATTCGCCTGACAGACGAAGGCATAAGCAATGAAGAAAGCAAACGTGCCTACTCGAAATACTACTCATTACAAGCGTCCTCTCTCTCTCTCTCTATAGAAATGTTTTCATATAACCACGCGTATATAGACACTATCAGTCAAGTTTTAATCGCTGCCTTCTCGTGGCTCGAGAGGGTTTACGAGCTCGAGAGGACAAAAAGCAAGCATCTGACCTTTGAAATGGGCTAATGGTTCACCTCGAGATGCTGAAAAACCCTGATTCCAAACCAAAGATGCACATGGGCTCCAGGACCCTGAGGGAACAAAAAGAGTGTGAACTTATTTTTGGTCACTGCCTACCATAGGACCTCATCTGTCATTGTTCCACTGCCTTCTGGACTAGACCTCTGAGTCAAAGGCTTTGATAGTTGCCTGCTAAGAAAACCACCTACTTTCGTTTAGGCACCCGGGGAGTATCCCAGCGACCACACAACTTTATTGGTCTTTGTGGCGCCCATATATTTCGCTTCCCCTTTGTACCAATGTTTGTGTTCGAATTAATAATATTGAAAAGTTTTATTTTTATTGGTGCAATGAAGCACCAGATATATATGTTCCACACTTCGTCATCCAATTTTTGTGAGGGCTGGAATACTCCCTGGGCGCTCAAACAGAAACAGGGATAATAGAAGGAATACGGTTAGTAGAAAGGTAAAAATGATTTAATAGTCACGTAGTGCCTAAGTCATTAAAGTATATCCAAAGCCTAGGATAAACACATATTTAACGGTACTATGTGTTATGAGTTCTATATTATCTCTTGAAATGATGATAATCAATAAAATAGAATGAATACATCTCGCTTTCTAAATGTGTTGTTTCAACTGTTGTTGATGAATTTATATGGTGATTCTTTAACTCATTATATAATATTATCATTTCAAATGAAATATTTTCAACATTATATTGTAATTGTTCGAAATTTGTTTTCAGAGTGATTATTAATGTCATTACTAATACAGTCTGTCAGTCAGCTACAACGTAAGACCAGGCACATATATGCATCGGTCCAAGTTGCCTTACCTCAATAACACAACAAGATGGACATCGGATTCCTAAAAGTAGTTAATTCAGAGGTGGTAATATATAAAAGAAAGATTGCAATAAGGATATAGTACAGGGAGAAAAAATTAGTTCGTAGAAGGAAAGATAGGAAGCGATTTTAATGTTTCAGTTTAAGGGAAGACAGAGAGTTTATACACCGACGCCATTGTGATCGATTCCGAGCCATGCCACAAAGAGTCTCCAACCATTGGTTACGATAGTCACGCGGACCTCAACCAAGTAGTTTGCATCTACCAACATGGCTCAGACTATAAGTTAGTGAGTTCAAGCACTGATGCCACGTTTTGGTTTGGCTGCACCTAACTTTCTTCCAACAATCTCCAGCACCGGTTAGCATTGCACGTCGTGGTAATCGGTGTTCAGGCATACGTAACACGTGGCCCAACCATCTCAGTCGATGAAGATTCACAACCTCATCAACTGATTTACCATCATTCCCTAATATCCTGCGCCTAACCTCACTATTACTTACCCGGTGATCCCAGCAGACGCCAGCAATATTTCTAAGGCATCTGTGGTCAAATACTAGTAGCTTACGAGTGTCTTCTACTCTTAATGGCCATGTTTCGCTACCGTAAATTAAAACAGGACGGACTGTCACGCAGTATACTCGTCCTTTTATTGATAGACGGATATCTCGCCTTTGCCATAGGTGACGTAAGTTGGCAAAAGTCAAACGAGCTTTTCGAATCCGTGCTAATACACTATCATAAAACATTTTTATTCTTCATATTTGTAACCATAATAATAGTGATTTTTTTTATTTTTTAGGTGCATGCTTGTGAAAATATCACTCGTCTAGTATCAGAAATTAAACAATTTTTAATATTAGGCGATTTTCGGTGGTTAGCACGAGTGAATTCATTAAATCAAGAAAAATTGATTCTTCGAAAATTAGATTTAGATCGTGTCAGTAATCGATTACGTGATAAACTTGTTGCTGAATTACATAACTTAGAACAAGAAACAAGTCCAGATTATCCTATTAATACTTTTCAAAAAAAAACTACAAGTTAACTGTTGTATCTTCACGTACTTTTGTCAATTATAAATATCCATTGAGTTGGTTATATCGATATTCCTTGGTGTTGATCATTCATTCCTTAATGGAAACTCTTAGTAAATGAGAAATTTTCTATTCCTAATCAACAATGTAAACATTGTTCTCTCCCCTTAAATGAAAAAAATTTTTACTTCAAAACTGGTTTAAATTAATGCTTGAACTAATGATAAGGAGTATATTAATTGGTCGCTTTAACTACTTCACTTATTTTAGAAGTTCTATCAGCCCTGATGAATTGGTATCTGACCAAATCTTGATACGGATTCAGAAGGACTGGTGAGCAATTCCGAACATGCATCTTAGTCATCCCAACGTGCATATAAAAAAACAAGGTGTTCTAATAAAACTGACTACGCGTAAGTAGTTGTGATAGGTTCTTATATTTTGTCACATTATTAACATTAACAGACGTTGTACGTCCGATAGTTTCAGGTCAACGTTGTCCAGAAGCATTGAACTTTTCTTCAATATAGTCCTAATTATGTATCATAATAATAGCCAAGTGTGAATTCGCTATTTGTTTGGTGATTGACTAGGTATTGATATGACTAATCATAAGATAGATGTATAGAAAGCACCATATAATATTACTAAGATTATTTCAATCCACTGAATACAGGTTAATGTACGTCTTCAACCCACACTCCAAGTGTGAGGGCTAGTGATACTACTCAGTTATCCAGACCAAAGTAGATGGAGCGGCATTCGAACTTATGAGTTAGTGACTAGAAATCGAGCACCTTAAACAAGTCACCGTTCTACTAAAATCATGGAGAAAACCAATGCTAGTAACCTTTTACGACTAATTGTTAGTTTCTATATTCGGCTTTCAGGCACGCCTTATATAAGACTTGATGATATACTGCTTAGCTACCCTAATCGATATATGTGGAACGAAATTTCAACCTCTACCCTACTAATTACAAGTCAGGTGATATATCTATTAGCTGTCACAGTGAACTGCGTTGCAACTTTATGCACACCACATAAGGACTAGTTAAAATGATAGAGGTTGCTGCTAAAGGATTATTTAGTGTGTAATTTAATTAAACACTAGAAGTCCACTTCTCTCAGGTAATTTCGCTTAACTTCAAAGTGTAATAAGAAAATCTGGCTGAATTTTAAATAGAATGAGGTAATAGTTGCAAATCTTCAGAATATGTCAGACTACTTGCATTACTTAGTTACACTTGTTACTCCTCGTAAAGGAGCATAGGCCCCTCACCAGCATTCTCCATCCAACACTGTCCTAGGCAATCCTTTCCAGCTCTTTCCAGTTGTTATTCATCCTTTTCATATCTGCTTCTATTTCACGATGTAATGTGTTATTTGGCCTTCTTCTACTCTTTTTCCATTCAGGATTCCAAGTTAGCACTTGTCTCGTGATGTAATTTGGTGATTTGCGTAATGTATGTCCTATCAATTTCCATCGTCTTTTCCTAATTTTCTCTTCAGTTGGAAGCTGTTTTGTTTTCTCCCACAGAAGGCTATTACTGATGGTATTCGGTCAACGGATATTGAGTATCTTCAGCAGACAACTGTTTACAAATACTTATAACTTCTTGATGATGGTTGTGGTAGTCCTCCAAGTTTCAGCACAGTGCAGTAGAGCTGTCTTGACGTTTGTATTGAAGATTCTGACTTTGATATTAGTTGAAAGTTGTTTTGACTTCTATATGTTCTTTAACTGTAGGAATGCGGTGCCTGGCTTTGCTAATCCTTCCGTTTACGTCTGCATCCGACCCTCCTTGTTCAACGATGATGCAATTCAAAATGACGTCGCTTATAAATAAGATTACTGTACACAGATCTGATTTTACTCAAAAATGAGGACATTATACAGAAAAAATCTCAGGTTGCAAACTTATCCTTTACTAATGATGAATAGGAATCAGTTAGCCAGAATCAGATATCTGAAAAATTAATTTAGGATGATGTTAGCTTGCAGTTCTGCAGCTTCCTCCTGAGGATAAGCAGTATTTGCTTAAGTGTCGAGAAAAAGTTGAGCATGTGAAAAATCAAACTATTGGTTCAACCTTCTACATATTTGCAAGATGTCGTGAAAAGCTGTTTTTGAACCGCTTAATATATTCTGAGAATATTACAAGACCATGTGTGTCCCATACGCCAAGAAATGAGAACAGTTGATCACGCATATTTCTCAGTGATCTAGTATACTGTTTGGACGAGATGCATCTTCCCAACAAACCATACTATTTTATTTCCGTGTTAGCTCGAACATTCATTACATTAGCCTGATTCTTCAAAAGCGATAGTGTAAGATGTCAAAGTTGCAAGCGTATACTGTCAAAATAGGGCATAAAAGCTAAATGCAAACGTTATCGAAATATCATGTAAAACCGTTATGAGGTGGAGAAATTATGATCTAAGCCATGGCACCATGATTCAGTATATTTTTATACGTATCACATGAAACTTAACACTAGGTGACTATGAAAAAAAAACAATTCCTTCTGATTGAATAAATGGTCTAGTGGAAGACTACTCTTCGTTTCTAGGGTAAGAAAATCATCAACAAAGTGTTATTTATTCTGAAAACGGGAATCACGGTTACTGTGTATCTTATATATTGAGAGACATGAGTCGAACAATTTTTTCAGTATCTTGTATTCAGTCAAAAAGTGTAACGTTAACAGTTCGTGACCTGAACTCCGTTGATTTTTATGGAACTAGAAACGAAGTGACAACTGATTTCAAATCAATAACAACCTAGTTTAACGACTAGAACTAGAGGGAGCCAAATATATTTGTGATTGTCAGAGGCTTGATGTTTTCCGTGAAATTCATCATAAGAGAAAAACTTGAGGATGTTGCCACAGTGATATTCGCATCACAACTTACGTCCTTTATGACTTGGTTATGTGTCCCGATTGATCACTGTGTATTAACCAGTGTGGTTTTTATCCAATCGAAATTCATTCATCAGTTTATATTTTGACGGTGAATAATGTTCACAATTGTTTGTTTCTTAATAACTGTGTCCATTGTATTATCATATTTGTACAGATTTCCTACGCAAAAATATATTCCAATGTATGCGACTGACAGCTTGTCTACCTATCTATATTTCTCAATACAGTGTGTTCCCTATGTGAATCTGTGTTCACATTTAGTTTTAGTGTTGAAAGACTTTATTCTCCCGAAGTTAATTTATTTTTGTGAGGATTCTTCCTAATTTGACACATCTTAATATCACTAACCAGGAGTTACGAAATATCATTGGAAATGATTAGCGGGTAGACACCGGCTGATAAATTGTTGGTAGTCTTCACTCAAGTTAGGTTCCACGATGTCCAATTCAAACATAACGGTTTCTCATGCTCTTGTTTAATCATCCACAGAATTGAAAACTCAAAGAATGGACTAAAGCATCGTAATTTGTCATACCGCATACTTACGCCTGTTACCACTCTTAAAGGAGCGTAAGCGGCTCACCAGCATTCTCCATCTAACTCTGTTCTGGGCAATCCTTTTCATGTCTGCTTCCAATCCCAGATGCAGTGTGTTCCTTGGTATTTCTCTCTTCCGTCTGCCCTCAAGATTTCAAGTTAGCGCTCGCCTCGTGATGCAGTTTGATCATTTCCTCAATGTGTGTCCTATCCACATCCAGTGAATTTTTCCGATTTCCTCTTCACCTAGAAATAGCTTTGTTCTCTCCCACAGTAGGCTGTTGCTGATGGTATCCAGCTAACAGACATTCAGTATCTCACGTAGAAAATTGTTTATGAATACCTGCATTGTTCTGATGATGGTTGTAGTAGTTTCGAGGTTTCAGCTCTATACAACAGAACTGTTTTGACGTTCGTTTTGAAGATTCTGCCTTTGATATTGGTTGACAAGTATTCTGAATTCGTATGTTCGTCAACTGTAGTAATGTTGTTCTTGTATTGTCAATCCTTGCCTTCACGTCTGAATCAGATCCTCCACGTCTGTCGATGATGCTGATCAGCCAGGTACGTGTAACTCCCACTTGTTCCAGAGTTTCTCCATCAAGTGTGATTGTGTTGGTGTTCTCCGTGTTGTATTTGATGATGTTTATATTTCTGTTGTGTATGTTGAGGCCTACTGATGCAGAGGTTGATGCCATACTGTTTTTCTTGACCTGCATTTGTTTGTGTGTATGGAATAGAAAAGCTTGGTCGTCTGCGAAGTTTGAATCGTCTAGTTGCATCCAACCTGTCCACTGTATTCTGTGCTTCTCTTCGATGTTGAGGTCTTCATAATCCAGTCAACCATCAGAGAAAGAGAAAGGCGCAGAGTAGGTAGCCTTGTCTGACACCGCTCCTTACTCGGAATGCGCCCGTCAGCTGTTCTCCATGCACATACTTGCAGTGTGGCGCATCGTATTGTAGTGAGCAAACACTAGTGGAGACAACCAAATGCATTTAACACAAAATTACAGGACTTGTTAATAAAATCTAACAATCGTAAAGTAAATGCTTAATTTGCAAAACATCCACCAATTTTCTGAAAAAGACTCAGACTTCGTTATTCTTGCATTTTCATACAAATTGCATCCTGTTTCCATTCTTTACTGTCCGATCCTCTTGTCTCTCTGCTGCCAGACCTTCTTTTCACGACTAACACATATACTACTTATGCCAATATGAGTAGCACACACCACAGTATGAATTCCGGATGATGTTGACGATATTCTCAGGAACTCCATAGTGTTGAAGTAGGTTCCATAATGTCCTCCTGTCCACACTGCAAACGCTTTCTCATGATCAAAGAAGTTGATCTATAGTGACGGTATCCATTCAATCGATTATTCATCGACTATCCAGTGTCGCGATTCTGTCTGTGCACGACTGATCCTTACGCAATCCAGCCTGTTGATCTCGAAACTGAGCGCCTACTAAATCATTCATCCGGTTCAGTAACACTCCGTTGAAAGCATTCACTCGCACTCGTATTAATGTAATGCTCCTCTAGTTCTTGCACTTGATGAGGTATCATTCATTCAGTTTGTCAATATCACTTGTTCTTTCTCCCAAATCTTCCTGAATATAACGTATATCTTCTTTGAAATTACTTCTCTATCCGACTTTTGGGGCTACAACTGGTGTATTGTCAGACCTTGCTGCTTTCCTACTTTTGTTTTGTCTGATGGCCAA